AAAACTATAATAATTTATGAATTATAAAGGGTTCAGGAGGGAGGGGGAGGGGAAGGGAGGAGGGAAATGAGCAAATGATATTGAGGGCTAAAGTAGAGGGCAAATGTTTTGAGATTGATGAGGGCAACAGGTGTACATATGTGCTTGGCTCAATGGTTGTATGTATGGAATGAGATAAGAATTGTACGAGCCCTCAATAAAATAATTTTTTTTAAAGTACTAACATATTAAAAGAAAAGTACTAACAGCAACAACAAAAAAAGACTATGAGGGCAAGAATTGTTGCTGTGTTACTGGCCATACTACTTTAGTGCTACCACAATGCTAGATACATGTATGAACTAAGGGTCTGTAGATGAGACTGTGCACAATGAAACTTGAAATCATCTAATAAAATCTCATTCTAACACACACAGTTATCAAATCCTTTTTAAAAAGTAACAACAATATCCTCTGTTCCAGTTTAATGTCCCCTTCCCATTATATTCTCTGGAGGCTATGAGTAGGTTAGCTGGTTAGTTAAAGACTTTTCCTGCTCATTAGTTCATGCTTACTTTGAGTTATGCAAGCATTAGTAATGCAAGATGAAATTTAGCCCACTGTGTTCAATGCTAGATTTTTAAAACCTGATTTGGATCCCAACCACAAAAGGAGAATAGTTATGATACAACCCATCTTTGGTTACCTGATCCCTTTAAGTGAGTGGTTCCATTGGTTGTAAATTGATCATGAGGTAGCTTTATTGTTGTAAAATCTGCCAACCAATTTATGATACAAAATGTAAAATCCTGTTAATATCGATTGTCATGTATCCAGGATTGATGCTAATGTGGAAAATCTCCTATGAAAAATTATGGAATCCATAAGACACTCTCGTAAAGACCAGGTTTCTGGCTCACTGTAACATCCTAGTGGGTTTCTCTCTTGATTTTCACTTTTCTGAAGTTGTGAGCAGAGACTGAGCACTGCTAGCAAGCCATGGCACTGCTACTAGCACCTGCTCTTTGGTGGGGACCTCTTCACCTGTATGTTGGAGAGGGCATGCTGTAAGAGGATGGCTTAGATTCTGAGTTCCCAGGTACAAGGCCAGATTCAAATTATACTTCTCCCCATTTCATGTTTTGGGGATCTTAAGCAAATCATGCAAACTCCTTGCACTTCAGTTTTCTCATTGCAAAATGCACATGATAATAGCACCTAACCCTTGGCATTTCTGTGAAGGTTAAATGAAATAATGCATATTAAGGATTTAGAACAGTGTCTGGCACAGAGAGAGCTCTCAGTATATGCTAGTATTATTTTTATAGCTCATCTTTTCTCATGATAAAATATTAGATTTATTTAAAATGACTTAAGTATCTCAACATTCTTAGATTAACTAAAAACCACTAAGTGGTGGCTTCAGCTTTTCTTGTTTTCTCTTTTATAGGTGCAAATCTTCGCTGTGGTCAAAGAGCAGGCCACAGTGCTACCCCTTGTCTTATTCATGAATCAAAGTTCTGTCCTTTACTGCAATAAATTGACCTCATTGTCTGCCTACTCTGCCTGCCTCGATATGTGAACTATGCCAAGCTCTCCTCACCTATGAATACTTCCTCACACTGCTACCCTGCATTTCTCTCCCACACCATATTTGAGGATTTTATCGCAATGCTCACGGACAGTTTCCTCTGTTTCTTTCCTTCCAATAGGAATTCTTGATTGTGCTGACTGGGAGTGATCAAGATGCCTAAACACACACACATAGATACAAACACTGATGCTTGTATAATTTAGCTTAGTATAGGATTTAGCTCATGAACTCTGTTATGAAAAGCATTAAGAATCATAGCACTTGTAGACAGAAAGTCAACCAAATATTTGTTGAAGTTTCAAATACTTCTCTTATTCATTCCTAACAGTTGTTTGGAGACAGAAGGAGCCATTGTGTGGGGTTCTCTTTTGTCTTAATGAATGCACAGCTGATGATTGAAGAGCCATTCAGGACACAGTCCTGACACTGCCTTTCCCCATTGGGTCCCTGAGAGAGTCACAAGCTTCAGGCATCGCAGAAAAAGAATCTTCTAATGAGTTTGGGCATCTAGGTTGAGTCTCTTGAACCCCACTTACAACTGCCTTGAACTCGGATTCATCACTATGTGCAAGAGATTCCTGGGTACCTGGAAACTTGTCTCTAGTGAGCACTTTGATGATTACATGAAAGCCCTGGGTAAGAACTTATTTTCTTGTAATTTTACTTGAGAAGTCCTATTCTTTTTATGTATTTAACTTTTTGGAGAAAATCCCCTTTGAGGAACTTACATAATTATTTACCCCTCACTCATCTGCCAAGGATCTCCGGACGTGTCCTCAGACTGAAGTATCATTCTCTTCTGAGATTAACCTTCTGTTGTTGGTCACATAATCTATTTGCATTTTGTTTGTAGCAGTTCAACTAGATTGAAATCAGGATGAGATCTGCTTAAGTGTGGGACTCCCACTAATATCCAGTGTGGTTTCTTATCGATTGAACTTTGATTTCAGACCAAACTCACTGCCATTGAGTTATTTCCAGCTCATAAGCAACCCTTATGGGCAAGGTAGACTGCTCCTGTGGATTTCTGAAGTTGTAACTTTTTACAGAAGGGGAGAGCTGCTTTCTCTTGTGAAGCCGCTGGTGGTTTGGAACTGCTGACCTTGTGATTAGCAGCCTAACTTGTAACCACTCTGCCACCAGGGCTTCAAACCAGGATAAATAAATTGGAAACTTGAACAACCCATTCCCCGACATTCCTAAAAGCAAGTTGTCATAGCAACTCATGTGCTCATAAAATAAGGAGTTCAATATACCGCAGGCACTAGAAATCTTCATTTTAAAACTTGATGCTTAGCTTAACTAAGATTTAGTTTTCTCTTTCTGCTTTTGGGTTGTACGTTATTAGATCCTCATGCAGCTAACAGGAAGTTGGGGGCGGGGTGGGCAATGCTCGCTGAAGTAGAATATTCCTCGTCCAAGGAAGCTAGTGGGAGAACGGGAGTTAGAACAGTGCAGACAGTGAAGACTCCGTTCTTAGTTACTTCAATTATATTTTACCCAATTTCTAAAGGATGCTCCCCGTATGTGATGACAAAATGTGGGAAGAGTCTTCAGATATGTCCAGAGCTGTAAAATGCAATCGAGAAAGTGATGCTATGACTTTGGGTTGCCATCTCTTTCAGGGTGGCTGTATCTTTACTGACCTGTATCTTTACTGACCTGCTCTTATGGAAGAGGTTCTATTTTTTAGATAAAATGAACAAAACTATATCTTTGTTGCCTGGAAAACTATGAAAATCTTTGGAGATAGATCCATAGGCTGAGGTAGATTAGATTTACTTTGGAGCTGAGCAGAATGTAAATCAGTCTCAATGAGAGACTTCCTAATTCAGCTCTGTACTATTGTAAAAGCACACCAGAAAACGCAAAAAAAAAAAAATGCAGATTTTCTGGTTCTAACCCAAAGATTTTGATTTAGTAAGAGAAGTGCTATTCTATATCATAGGAAAGAACAGAAGGTTAATCAGATTAGAAGCACATGAGTCATAGTTTTCAATTAACTGTAACTCTTTAAGTCTTGTTTTTAGCACATACATGTTTACACACACACACAATACAAAGAAGTAGATCTAAGTAGAATTTTCTTTTATATTTCCAGTGCAGACTTAAAAAAAATCCTATTGTTTATTCATGCTCACTTGTAAGTATATAGATCTTGGAGTGATGTGACAAATTTTTTTTTCCTGCCAGGTAGACTTAGGAAGCCACACACACACACACAAAGGAAATAAGATTCTATCGTGGATGGTACAAACGCTCTTATAGCCGTAATACAGAACTGAGGGAGAACAGTACCCTAGAACGGTGGATGTACATATCATGATGTCATTTTAAAAGCATACTTATCATACATACATATCTATATTAATTATTTGTACCAACTAAAATACATAAAACTATCTATGCAAAACTATAATTCGGAGTTTTCAATGATAATTGGGAACAGATAGGGTAAAAATATTGCATCAGGTGGAAGATATTTTAAAAACTTTTGGCAGTACAACAAAACATAAACCATTGTAGTCCTTGCCTAGTTCTTTTTATTAGCTGGTGAAACATGTGGGGTGTGGGAGAGACCCTTTGTAGTGAGTTGCCCTACTTATCACCTATGTACCTGAGGCTCAGCTGAGAGGGGAATGGGGTCACATACGTTCTCTCCAAGTCTCTGTCCCAGTCACCCCAATTCTAAGACTACCTTGGTTTTCCAGGTGTGGGTTTAGCCACCAGAAAACTAGGAAACTTGGCCAAGCCCAATGTTATCATCAGCAAGAAAGGGGACACTATAACTATACGAACTGAGAGTACCTTTAAAACTACAGAGATCTCCTTCAAGCTCGGTCAGGAATTTGAAGAAACCACAGCTGATAATAGGAGAGCAAAGGTAAGCTTTAAAGTTCTCTTCTGAGTTTGCTCAGGTAGTCTACTACTCGAGAGCGAGGGTTCTTACCGCTGGTGTCCCAAAAGGTGGGCTCCATTCCAGCCTGAATGTGCCACAGGAGACAGCTCTTATGAAACTGTTCTGCATTGAATGATTTGCTTCTTGTATCAACTAGACTCCAGCTAAGTCAATTATGCGAACATGTCATTACAGAGCATTGTGACCTTGGAAAGAGGCTCATTAAATCAAGTACAGAAATGGGATGGCAAAGAGACAACAATAAAGAGAAAGCTAGTGGATGGGAAAATGGTCGTGGTAAGAGTATTTTTGACTTTTGAATATGGAAGAATGGTTATTGAAACAGAGAAACTGGTTATAATATTTTCAAAATATTCTCTTTTTTCCTTTGGAATACGAATGGATAAAGTCAGTTAATCCTGTGTGGTAGTTAAACCATAGAGTCTTTCCATTTCAAGTGCTTCAAGTAGGTCCCAAATGTTAGAAATAACCAAGTCCTAAATCAAGTAGTAAAATGTACGAAAGCATGAATAAATTTCACTATTTTGGATTCACAAGGAGAAAAGAAAATTTGGATTTTAAAAGAAAAAACAAAACGACAGCAACAAAACCCCAAAAGCTAATTTAAAAATAAACATTCTGTTTTAAAACCCATAGTAACTAGATAATTAATACACACTGAGCTCATCAAATACCTCCTTTAGTCAGTAGTTAGGAAAGATGACAAAGCTTACATGAGATGATCCCAAGACAGGACGAGGGAGTTGAGATCAAGATTTGGACAGGCCATGTGAGGGACCCATGACACATCGTGGCACTGTACTTACCAACCCCTTGCTCCGCTAATGGAAGTTCTGAATACTCATATCCACACAGCACTTTTAAACAAGTTAAACCTTTAAAAAGCTCAAGGGCCTAGTTAAGAAGGAGGGGCAGTGTATCTTGAATCTGGCCACTCAGACTTGGTGAAGTTCCATTCCTTCTAGGAGCTTCCATGTGTCTTCCAAAAGTAACCCTTTCTTTAAGTAAGATGCGAACCTAATTCCTGTAACAATCACTCATATTTTTTTAAGTTCAAGTTCTTTGTTCACCAATTTGCTTATACATTGAGTAGAAAAGGTTAAATAATGTTCTAGATGTTATTTTCTTTAACACTGTAGTTCTTAACTCTAGCAGAACAATCTATTTTCTTAGGGAGCTTTGAAAAAATAGAACAAGACAATAAGATCCAACTAGGCATCCATTAAATACAAGCCTCTGGATGCAGGCAAATAAGGCGTTGCGGGGAAAAGAACCATCAGTGCTTGTTTTGTTTTGTTTAAACGTCATCCAGGCACTACAGCTACATAGATCATTTTGAAGATCGCAGCCCCACGCAGAACCACTATGCCACCAGGGCTTACGTAGATAATTTTGGAAACTAGCTTTAGTAACTTTATTAGATACAAGCAAAACAATTCATAAAAATGTAACACTTTTCTTTTCCCTCATTCGCAGTAACACAGGTCAACTTTCAAAATTGTTTCTCCTACTCCAGCGGTCCTCAGTGTGAATTACTGGAGACTGTCACACTGATCTTTTATTCCTTTCTGATATCAATCTTATGAGTTTGTTTTAATTTTCTGTTTTTATTTCACAGTTGCTCATCCCTGGTTTCAGTTTTAGATACTCAGTTAATCTCTCTTGCTCTTTTTAAGGAATGTATGCTTAAGGGTATAGTCTGCACCCGAGTCTATGAGAAGGCCTGAGGGAATCATCAGGTCATTGCGCATTTGGTGTCAGAAACCAGCTGCTTCGCTTGGCAAAACCTGACTACATTGCAGATTGTTTTTACCGTTGTCTTCATGGGTCAGCCAGAAAAACATCTAACTAGAGAATTAATTGATCAATGTTCAGCATTGCTTAAACATTTTCAGTTTCGTGTAAGTTGATCAGTCCTAAATAGTTGATTATGTCATTAAATTATCTGATAAACTCTAATCCATGTTGTCAGTTGTGTGTTTGAGACGATATTGAAGGGAATTTTGGTACTAGAATTGATCAAGGATAGCAAACTCAAATGCCTTCACCTGCCAGGAGAGGAATGAACAAAAAGGATCCGAAGTTAGTCAATCCAGTAGGAGGAGCTCTTGTGAATCAGGAACTTGGATGTTGTCCTTAGGTGCCATTGAGCTGGTCCCAGCTCATTGCAAGCCTACACACAACAGAATGAACCACTGCCTGATCCTGCACCATGTCCTCACAATTGATGTCATGTTTGAACACATAGTCTATACAAAAGGGAAGCAGACTCGGTTCTACTTATTTTTTAATGGCGGTGTAACTGATCCACAATGAAATGTACAGATACAAGAGTAGCGTTTGCTCTATTTTGACATATGCGTGCACCCATACAACTCATATCCTGATGAAAATCTAGGGTATTTCCTGAAGGTCTTACATGTTTCTCAGGCTGCTTTCTAACATCTGCCCTCCTTTTGACCTAACCTTCACCCAAAGCAGTTAGCATCTCTTTCTAGTGCCATAGATTCACTACCTATTTTCAAATTCATATAAATAAATCATGGATTATATACTCCTTTCTGTTGTCTTTTTAAACTCTGAATAATGTTTGTAAAGCTCACCTATATTTCAGTATGGAATAGTTTCTTGTATTGCTGTATGGTATGCTATTGTATGAATATATCACAGTTTAAATAAATGATCATTAAATTTGCAGGTTGTTGTTTAGTATTTTTTTTGTAATTACTAAGAAAAAAACTGTACAAGCCTTTTTGTGGACTTATGATTTTCTTTCTTTGGGGTAAGTAAATAATTGTAAAAGAAAAATTTATGAAGCTTTTCTTGACCAAAATTGAATGATGAAATTAAACTAAATCCTTGATGAATTGGTATGTTCTTACCCAACTGTCTGCCTGAAAATCCTTGTTTTCTTTTTTGACAAGCTTCTGTTACCTGGCTATGTTAATTTCTAGAAATCACAAAAAGCCAAAGGGATGTTTTCTCTGCCATCAATGCAGGATGTGGAAGTAACGCCAAGAAAAAGGGTTTCAGCACAGAAAGAGTGTTGTAAAATGGCCTTAAAAAGAAATCTTTTATAAGGATACAGAAACAAAGTCTCTGAAAGAAACTTTGCCTTAATTTTCAGTTATGCATGCAAGCAATTTTAAAAAATCATTTTATTAGGGGTTCATACAATTCTTATCACAATCCATACATATATCAATTGTGTAAAGCACATTTGTACATTCATTGCCCTCATCATTCTCAAAACATTTGCTCTCCACTTAAGCCC